AAGAAAGATGGCAGTTGCACTCACTCACTCACTCACTCACTCACTCGCACATACACACACACACACACAAATATAAACACACACACACATACACACAAATATGAACACACACACACACACACAAATATGAACACACACACACATACACACAAATATGAACACACACACACACATACACACAAATATGAACACACACACACATACACACAAATATGAACACACGCATACACGCGCGCGCACACACACGCGCAGCTAAAGTTCGGTCGTAAATTTTACGCATGTTATAGTCGTCGGCGGCGAATAAATGATGATGATAATGGTGGTGGTGGTGGTGGTGGCGACAAAGACTGCAAAGATGTTAATTATGAAACCGCTGTCGTCATTCTTCCATTCGTTCATTCTTTCACTCGTTCGTTCATTCGTTAGTTTGTTGTTTCATTCATTCATTCATTCATTCATTCATTCATTCATTCATTCATCCGCCCATCAATCAATCATTCAAATTATGTCGGCATCATTTTGATCATTATCGTCGTCGTCGTCAACATCTTCAGTTTTTTATCCATCCATCCATCCATCCATCCATTCATCGAATCATTCATTCATTCATTCACCCATTCATTCATCCATTCACCAATCAATGAACCAATCAACCAAATAACCTTCATAGAGTTTGGAGCATTGTTATCTTCATCATCGTCGTCGTCGTCTTTATCACTGTTCTCACTGTTATACATGGGGCAATCGTTATCATTACTATTACCACTACCACCGCTACTACTACTATTACTTAAATTATTATTATTATTATTGTTGTTGTTGTTGTAGTTGTTGTTGTTGTTGAAAATGTGGCCGAGATGGTAGTGATGAAATAACATTTGCCGCGGATCATGATAAGGATGTGTAAAATGATACTTATCACTACTACTACCACTACTACCACAACTACTACTACTACTACCACCGCCAGCTATATTACTACTACCACTACCGCCACCATAAAAATGTAAGCTACTACTACTACTACTACAACTGAAATTAACATTATTATAGATATTATTGATGTTGTAGCTACTACAAATGCCACCGGTATTAACGCTATTGCCGCTGCTACCATTACCACTGTGACTACTACTACTACTATTACTGCTGCTGCTGAAGCTACTGCTGCTACTACAGCCGCCACCGTAATTAATAATACTACTACTATAGTTAGCAGTATTACTTACATTGTAATTAGCAATGTTACCGTTATAATTGTTCATACCACTATTAAAATTATTACTGAAGCTAGTAACACCACTACTACCACCACCACTGTTATTACTACTACTACTGCTGCCGCTGCCGCCGTTACTACACTGGCCACAGCCACACTTGAGCGGATTCGTCTGCAAGATTCCCTTGGCTATGAGAACCTTCAGACTCTTGCCGTGATGCTTTATGCTACGCTTCCAGTCCTTGGCAGTTTCTCTCCCACTTATGAATTGAAACTCGTTCGGGGTAAGCCATGACCCGTCGAAGTATACGCATGTACCTTTGCTACCTGTGAATACAAGGGGGGGAGGTGTTTGTGGGTTAGTAAGGGAGGAGGGGGAGGGATTTTTTGGGAGTTGGGTGTGAGTATCACGGACTATCAATCAATCAATCAATCAATCAATCAATCAATCAATCAATCAATCAATCAATCAATCAATCAATCAATCAATCAATCAATCAATCAATCAATCAATCAATCAATCAATCAATTAGCTTATAAGCGCTATTTCCGCGATGTTCAATAGCGCTCCTCAATGAATTTTGAAAACAGATGGGTCTTGAGATCCGCTCTGAACTTCGCAAGTGATGGAGAAGTAGTCAGAGAAGGAGGTAGAGAGTTCCAGAGAAAAGGACCAAAAACAGCAAAAGCAGATTTGGCAAGAGTGTTTAACACGAGTTAAGAAGAAGCGAGAAGAAGAAGACGATCGTAAACCGGGGCGTTTAGGTTCAATTAATATATCTGATAAATACTTAGGAAATAATTTAGATTGAGACTTATACACGAACGTGCAAATTTTAAAAATTATTCAATATTTTAAAGGTAGCCAGTGCGAGAGAACAAGATATGGAGATATATGAGAAAAGAAAGGGGCACGAGCAACTAGACGAGCAGCAGAGTTAAAAGTTTTACTTAAAGGATAGAGTATAGAATCAGGAAGGCCATAGTAGAGCGAGTTACAATAATCAATCCTAGATAAGACTAACGAAGTAACAAGAAGGAGAAGAGTAGGATTGTCAAGAAAAGGCAAGTTTTTTTTATTCTACGCAGAAAATTAAAATAAGAGCTTCTAGCGACACTATTAATCTGAGAAGAAAGAGACATGCTAGAATCAAAGATAAAGCCTAGACTACGAAACTTGTGAGAAACATCAAGAGTTTTAGAATCAGGCAAGTAAGATAATAGGAGGAATAGTAATAGAGTGTTTAGATTTATTAAAAAAAATTAATTTAAATTTAGAACGATTAAGTTTAAGACACATAGAGTCAGACCAAGCGATAACTGAAAAAAGACATATAGATAGATTATGAAGAATCGGATATGTTTTTAGAAATGAAAATTTGAAATTTGTTCGGGGTTAGCCAGGGTTCAACTGGGGTCTTGGGGCAAATTGGGGTCAAATATTGCGTGCCACGCAACGATGATGATTATTAATAAATTATGATAATTAATAATTAAAAGCATAAATTATGATAATTTTTTATACCTAATTGCAGACGACTCATGTAGAGATAGGCCGTGTTCTGCCCGCACGTTACCTCCAACATCAATTCATCTGTGTTGTTGATGTTGTGGTTGTTGTTGTTGTGGTTGTTGTTGTGGCTTATTTTGTTGCTGTTGTTCATGTTGTTGTTGTTGTTGTTGCTGCTGTGTTTGATATTATTCTCTGTGCAAATTACGACTGGATTGACATTATTTGAAAAGATATTTGATGATGTCGTTGCTGGGGCAGCTACTGTGGCTTCTGTTGTGGCTGCTGTTGATGATGATGATGATGCCATTGTAGATGATGATAAAGATGTTGTGGTTGTTGTCCTTGATAATGATGTTGTGGCTGTTGTTGATGATGATGATGTTGTTTTTGATGACGACGACGACGAAGATGGCGAACTCGATAACAATCGTGATATATTTAATGACGTTAAAACCGATGACGACGACGATGATGATGATATTGTAGTTGTTGTTGTTATTGTTGTTGTTGATGATGACGATGTTATTGTTGTTGTTGTTGTTGATGATGACGACGACGATGAAGATAATTTAATTATTGACTCGAATAAATAGTTCGCAGTTGATGACATTATAGAAAATGGGCTAATATTTTTGTTGTTGATGTTGTTGTTGTTGCTGTTGTTGCTGTTGTTGATGTTGTTGATGTTATTGATGTTGTTGTTGATGTTGTTGTTGCCACTGCGATGATGAATTGTTGATGGTTTTTGTTCTTTAGTTACGAAGTGAACGTTACTGTTGGTGTTGGTTCTGTTGATGTAATCTGGATTGCTGTTAATGTTGTTGTTGTTGATGTTGTTGTTAAATTTGTTGTTGTTGTTGTTAAATTTGCCGTCGATGTTGTTGTTGATGTTAAATTTGTTGTTGTTGTTGATGTTGTTGTTGACGAGTTTCAGTGTTACGTTATTACAAATGTAATTTTTTCCTCTTTGATTCTGGCTATTGTTGAAGTATTGTTGTTGTTGATGAATTTGTTGTTGCTGCTGCTTGCAGCTTGCTGCACTGATGAAGCTACTACTACTACCACTACTGCTACTGCTACTACAACAACTACTACTACTACAACAACTATTACTATAACTACTACAACTACTACTATTACTTTTGTTGATAAGATAAGTAATGGACGATGACGATGATCCAACAGTTGGTGATGATGATGATAATGATGACGATGATGATGACAATTTTTTGCAATGATTACTACTACTACTACAACTAACAATATAGTTGTTGTTGTTGTTGTTATTGTTATTATTTTGATTAGATGTAGTTGTAGTAGTGGCAGTATCAGTAATGTTAGAAGTAGTAGTGGTAGTAGTAGTAGTAGAGGTCGAAGTTGT